AACCAATACATGTACACATGTAAAGTGTGTAATGGGGCTATGGTACACTTAATTACCAACCACTCTTTTAACAGATGAAAGGCAATAATGTTGGCTTAACGTTTACATAATTTGCTTTTCTACTAAAAATTTAGCTAAAATAAAGCTACAATTCAGTCTTATCAGTTTTATGTCCTAAACAACTAGTAATAACCAAAGGTTACGGGGTGCAGGTGACAACAATCGAAGGTCAAAGCGCTTTTGCTCCAGTGCTGTGCTTGTAAGTTTCACATGATGGATGGTCAAAAGATGCTCGATCAGATTACGAGTGATACATGTAGGAAGTCCAAATGCATGTGATCAAAGTGCGTTCTGTGCATTCCATACATTCTTAGTGGAAATCCAAACGAATGCTGGCTACATACATGCGACACATGGGTAATAACAAGCTGAAGATTAGGATTGCGGGCTCCTCTTGTCACCCGCAATTACTCTGCAAAGTTTTTATCTGCTTATTTCCTGATTAGAGAAATTTACAACCTGAATCTGATGTCTGTCATTTGCAGTACAGTCAAAAGTATTTAGTTGACACTCAATTCTCGATCCTCACGAGAATTGAGAATCAAGTCGAGTCGACTGTTGCATCTCAATTCTCGATTCCTGTGAGACTCATCAAACTGGAACGGCCTGTTGTTTACAATCGATTATAAAGGGTTTTGTTTTGAGTGTAATTTGCTCTCTACTCTTGATACTTGATTGCTGCGAGAATCTGACAACCTAAGTTCAAGTTTTAGCAACCTTCTAACTTCTCTCATATCAAAAAAATCTTTCTACTGTATAAAAATAGCAAACTCTATTCAGCATTTGATTCTAGAGAGAAATTTCTAAACCAAGCAACTTATACAGTAGCAGTTGACATTTGCATTTGCTCACACGGCTCGGGTGACACTTTGCGTTGAAATCTTAAAAAGTTCAAACAGCATTTGCATCATTTAAATTGCAGAAATTGTTAGCAATAGTTGAACTTGAAGAGTAATCCATGGCTTTTTGTCTGTATAATCCAAAATGAATGTAAAAGGAAGCTTGTGTAAATAAATGTTAAATACGCAACGATGTGTAAACAAAGTCTCAAGGCGCTTCTCGTTGCTTTTGTTCCTCAGCTTGTCTTTCGAATTTTATTTGTCGATATTTTTTGATTGCCTGTTTGTGAATGTCTATCAGCATTATCCCAGTTGAATGTCTGGTTATCGGTGTCTACAGTCAGAGGGTGTTTTTTTCACTTGAAACTTTACTTGTAATTTGACCCCTTGACTAGAAATTTAAAATAAAATTCTCCAGAGGCTTGCTTTAGATTTTCCATATAATTATTATTAATTTGTCTACAATTTTCCCGGGACTTTCTTACAGACAAATGTACAGAAAATTTTAAAAAGTGGTTTTAGGTCTTGTAGTGCATCTAACACCCTTAATTTTTTTCAGTAGAATTCTTTGGAGCGAAGCTTTAGTTTACAAATCATATTTTTTCAGAAGAGCCATTTTATGGAAATTATTCGACATTAGATTCTCATACAAACACTGTAATTTCTCACACGTTTGCCTACTCGTCAAGATGGCGTCGAAATCCACGACAAATCAGCTAAATTTGAAATACCTACATGGGTAGTTTCGAAAACGAAGCACTCGAAAACGAAGACGGAAGCACGAAGCACCCAAAACTCGAAAACGAAGCACCCAAAACTCGAAAACGAAGCACCCAAAACTCGAAAACGAAGCACCCTAGATCGAAAACGAAGCACCCTAAATCTCGAAAACGAAGCACCCTAAACCTTCGAAAACGAAGCACCCAAAACTCGAAAACGAAGCACCCTAGATCGAAAACGAAGCACCCTATCTCGAAAACGAAGCACCCTAGATCGAAAACGAAGACCCCAAAATCTCGAAAACGAAGCACTCAAATCTCGAAAACGAAGTACCCAAAACTCGAAACCACTGTAGGCTGTACGTCTTGCATGACGCAATCCGAATCAGGTGGAGGCAGCGGATGCGTCCGCACCTCCAAAGGTCCACAAAATCCACCCCAAGGTTTTATAAGAGCCTGCCAACTGTTTAACTGAACGTTTCTAGATGGGATATAGTGTATTAATTTTATTATTGGTCTCGCTATACTTGATACATCTTACCTTAATATGCGTTTTTTCGGTACACATGCATGTTTATGTAGACTTGAAAAACTGTCCGTCAGCAGATTTTGGCGTATTCAAGTACGCGTGAGCAGTAACACAAAAGGTCTGAAACGAGGCTGGAAACGGAGTGTGAGGCTCGCGCGTATTACTCTTACGCCACGCTTTACCGACTTCTTTACTGATTTTGAGAAAAAAACCGACTGTTTTGCAGTCTACCATATCGGATATTTTTGACACTGCGTGATCAGATCAGATCAGATCCAGGCAGAATTTTTTCTAGGGTAATAGCCTGGGATCAGGCTCTATGGTGGGGAACAGGAGAATTTTGAAATAAAAGG